TTTAGATAGGGATCAGGGGAGACTACTATGGGAGGAAATCGTTAGGGCCACAAGGCACGATAATGTAGTAATTCTAGGAGACTTTAACTTTAGTCATATTGATTGGAATTTCTTGACTGGGAATTTAGAATCATACGATTTCTTAGAAGTAGTTCAGGATTGTTTTTTGAAGCAGTTTGTGACAGAACCTACAAGGGGTAATAACCTGCTTGACTTAGTTCTGGCAAACAATGAATCCCTTGTTAATAATTTAGAAGTTTCAGAGGAACTGGGTGCTAGCGACCACAAATCAATTACATTTAGAATTGAATGGAAGTATGATAGTAGGGATAACTCAGTAACAGTCCCAGATTTTCGCTTAGCAGATTACAATGGACTTAGAGAACACTTATCATCTGTTGACTGGGGTAATGAAGAGAGCTATCAATATGACAGTTTTCTGAACACAATACATGCTGCTCAAAGAACGTTTAATCCCTATAAGGAAATTAGATCAAATAGAAATGACCCAAAATGGATGAATAATAGGCTGAAATATCTACTAGGGCATAAGAAAGGAATTTATAGGCGTATCAAAAGAGGCGAGGGTCATCTTATGAAACAGTATATTGACATTAAGAGGGACATTAAAAAGGGGATAAGAAAAGCTAAAACGGACTATGAAATTAAAGTTGCTAGGGATTCTAAAACTAACCCAAAAAGTTTTTTCCAGGTATATAGAACAAAAGTCAGAGATAAGATAGGTCCCCTTAAAAATAACTATGGGCATCTTACTGACAAAGAGAATGAAATGTGCTCGATTTTAAATAATTATTTTCTCGGTTTTTACACAGGAAGACACTAATAATATTCCGGTAATTAATTTTTATAGTGGACCAGAAGAAGATAAATTATGTAACATCACTGTCACTAGTGAAATGGTTGTGAAGCAGATAGACCGACTGAAGCAAAATAAGTCACCGGGTCCTGATGAGGTTTTTTCAAGGGCTCTTTAGGAATGCAAAATGGAAGTCTGTGAACCATTAACTAATATTTTTAATTTATCTCTTCAAACAGGTGTAGTGTCTGATATGTGGAAGATGGCTAATGTAATTCCTATATTTAAAACAGGGGACAAGTCGTTACCGTCAAATTACCGCCCAATAAGCCTGACCTCAATTGTAGGCAAATTACTAGTCAATTATAGCTGAGATTATAAGAAGCCATCTAGATAAGCATAGCTTGATTAATGATACTCAGCATGGATTCACAAGAGGCCGGTCTTGTCTAACTAATTTATTAACTTTCTTCAGTAAAGCTTTTGAGGCTGTTGACCAGATAAAGAATTTGATATTATTTACTTAGATTTTAGTAAGGCATTTGATAGAGTTCCGCACCAAAGACTGTTAAAGAAAGTAGCAGCTCATGGCATTGGGGGAAGGGTGCTCTCATGGATCGAATCATGGCTCACTGACAGGAAGCAGAGAGTGTCCATAAATGGGGTTAAATCCGAGTGGGGATCAGTAACAAGTGGCGTTCCACAGGGATCAGCCTTGGGCCCGTTGTTGTTTATAATATATATCAATGATCTTGATGAAGGAATTACTAGTGATATGAGCAAATTCGCCGATGACACGAAGATAGGTAGGATAATTGATTCAAACGTAGATGTTAGGGAACTTCAGGAGGATTTAGACAAACTCTACTCTTGTCAGAAAAGTGGCAGATGCAGTTAAATGTAGATAAATGCAAGGTTCTGAAGCTCGGGAGTGTCCATAACCCTAGCACTTATAAGTTAAATAATGTAGAACTTAGCCATACAGATTGCAAAAAGGACTTGGGGGTTATGGTAAGCAGCAACCTTAAACCAAGACAGCAATGCCTAAGCGTACGTAATAAGGCAAATAGATTACTGGGATTTATATCAAGAAGTGTAAGCAACAGAAGTCCAGAGGTCTTTACTGCAGCTTTATACATCATTAGTAAGGCCTCACCTAGATTATGCAGCTCATTCTGGTCTCCACATTACAGAATGGACAAAAAATTCGTTAAAAAACATTCAGCGTGGGATGACTAAATTAATACATAGCATTAGAAATTTTCCTTATGAAGAAAGATTGAAGACTCTTAAGTTAAAATTCACTTGTTAGACGAAGAAATGAGGGGAGACCTGATCGAAGTGTATAAGTGGAAGATAGGTATTAATAAAGGGGATATTAACAAGGTCTTGAGGATATCTCTCCAAGAGAGAACCCGCAGTAATGGATTTACATTAGATAAGTTTAGATTTAGAAAGGACATAGGAAAGTATTGGTTTGGAAATAGGGTAGTTGATGAGTGGAACAGTCTACCTAGTTGGGTTATTGAGGCTAGGACTTTGGGTAGTTTCAAATTTAGGTTGGATAAGTACATGAGTGGGAGGGGTTGGATTTGAGAGCTTGTTTCTTGGGTGGCATTGAAAATTGGGTTGGTCAAATGTTTGTTAGTGGGATAAATTGTAAAGGACCTGCCTAGTATGGGCCAACAGGCCTGCTGCAGTGTTCCTCCTTTCTTATGTTCTTATGTTCTTATGTCAAAGAAAAAGCTAAATGCCATCAAAGATAATGAAAATTGCCTGTCATCACTTATGATTTTCAACTAATATTAAATCTCTGGTTCTTCACCACTCTTCACTAAATCAGTATTAGCCTTCTATAAATTTACAGTCATCATACATAAGGTATGAATGTATTTGATTAAAAACAAAAAAAGATGGGGCCTGAGACTGTTCAACTGCCTCCCAGCACACATAAGGGGGATTACCAACAGACCCCTGGCAGTCTTCAAGCTGGCACTGGACAAGCACCTAAAGTCAGTTCCTGATCAGCCGGGCTGTGGCTCGTACGTTGGTTTGCGTGCAGCCAGCAGCAACAGCCTGGTTGATCAGGCTCTGATCCACCAGGAGGCCTGGTCACAGACCGGGCCGCGGGGGCGTTGACCCCCGGAACTCTCTCCAGGTAAACTCCAGGTAATACCTGTTAATAATTCAACCTGGGGGTATACCTTAACTAAAACTAAATACAGCCTCTCCTCACTTAATGACGGAGTTCTGTTCCTAAGACCACATTGGTAAACGAATTCGTCACTAAGTGAGGAGCATACTATAATGGCAGTGGGTTTGTGTCAACCATCATTTGTATTGTTTTAATGTCACTTTTGCACCATTTATAACATTTCTGATATATTTTCCAATGTTTATACAGTAGTGTACTATGTATTCTAATAAACAGAATAGAGGAAATCATCTCTAATATATATTATTTAGGTAAGCATACTGGTCAGAGAGCCCGCTGTAAGTTTGAGTCATCAATAAACGAGTACATTGCAAAGTGAGGAGAGGCTGTATTACATTTAACCCTTTGAGGGTCGACAGGCCCTCTCCGAAACTCGTTCTCAGGGTCGGCCAAATTTAAAAAAAAAAAAAATTATTTTCTCTTATGAAAAGATAGAGAATCTTTTCCCGATCATAAAGACACCAAAAGTTTGAAATTTGATAGAAAACTAACGAAATTATGCTCTCGCAAAGTTAGCGGTCTCGGCGATGTTTACGCATCGGCGATTTTGCCCACTTTGAGCCCCATTTTCGGCCAATTTTGCTGTACTAGTCGACAAAAAACATGAATATTTCGCTAGAACTCCATTTTTTCTATCGAATGGTGCAAGAAACCACCCATTTATGAAATTCAACTATCCAGTACAGTGGTCAGAATTTAGCAATTTTGCCAATTTCACACAAATTTCAAAAGATGCCAATTTCCGAATAGGGTCCAGAATAAACAAGAAAGACATTCCTGGCACTAAAATGACATTTGCTCTAGTCACTAGTAACGTCTCAAGGCCCCTCTTATATTCTTTTGCTTTCCGTTTTGAATTTTTATTCTCACAAAAAATATAAGATTTACTGTTATGCAGACTACTGCATTAATGTAAAAAATGGTATAAATATTATTGGTGCACTTGTGAAAGAATATTAGACTCACCAGTTGACGTGTATTGCACGCTTGGCACGATTTGTCTACTTTTGAAGTTTGGTAAAAATCGAACATTTCTGCTACTTTGAGCTCAATTTCAATGCACCTTTCTTTGTAAAACCAGCCAAAATCATCCCAATTTCTGTAATATGTCTTCCATTCTATAAAATGAGACCAAGAAAACTAGAATACAACAATAAATACCATACGAAAATACACTGCAAAATCGCTGATTTATTCAAAAAAAATGGTCAAAGTTTTTTTTTCTCATTATGCACTGTGTGCTGCAGGATTTTTTTTAGACTGTGCACACTGACCACATAGACCCATTCTTTCATATGAAGGCCTACCAGCTTTCTCCCACTAGATTTGAGGCCGCTAGAATTTATGCGTACTAGTACGTCAAAAACCCCTACGCGTAAAACGTACTAGTACGACGAAAACCCTCAAAGGGTTAAGGATCTTCACCAATTTATACCAAACAAATGTGCTCTCTCTATACATCATAAAATAAGCATACACACCATAAATGCACTGAGTAAAGGGAAGTATATAATTAGTGGGTCCAGTAGTAGTAACCAGTTACCAGTAACCAGTGTACCAGTAGTTGACTCACTATCAACCGTCTCTGCCTGAGTCACTGTCTGTATTCATATTGTGCTGACCACAGCAGTATTCAAAGACCCCCTGACATATGGGTACTGTGGGCGGCCAGTCAGTTATACGAGAGTGAGCAAGGAGATAGGCAGACTGTTGGGCGCTCCCCACATTATCTGTAATTATACGTACTTCCAGCCTACGTGAGTATTACTTTACCCCATCCACGTGTTCGAACTCCCACATGATACACTGAGTAAAGGGAAGTATATAATTAGTGGGTCAGAGGCATATTGTTGAATTGTTATAGTATGACCCCTCTTGGTCTGGGTGCCGGAAAATCGGTGGTGTGCCTGTAAAAGAAGGATGTTTCTTTTTATTTTCCTTTAATAGCTTTATTTTAAGTATTCTCACCTCCTGGTATAATAGAAACTTCATCCTGACAGCCCTCAAAGAACTTTCCAGTGGCAGGTGTAACACCATCCGGGCAGCAGCCAAACTCAGATTCCGCACAGCCACATCCCTCATACTCTGGACCACTGGCAGGTGTGCGTCTGTCTTTGCAGCACCCAAACTTCTCATACTCACACCCACACCCTAAAATAATTAATTTACTAAAAAAGAGAAAAGTAAAAACACTATTTTTAATTAGCATTATTTTTTAACACATCGGCCATTTCCCACTGAGGCAGGGTGACCTGAAAAAGAAGACACTCATCTACTCTCACTCCATCACTGTAGATGAATGGTTCAGAGAACTGACACACTGATAAATTAGACACATGTGTAACTCTTGGGTATCTTTATTGAGGAAACGCTTCGCCACACAGTGGCTTCATCAGTCCATACAGAGGAGAGTCGTGAAGAACAGGAGGAGAATGAGGTAATCAGTCCCTCAACCTTGATAAATTTATCAACCTTGATAAATTTATCAATGTGTCGGTTCTGTGAACCATTCATCTACAACCCTCAACCTTGAGCCGATGTGGTCAGTCCATCAATCTTGAATAGAATGCAGCGCATGTGCAGAGAAGTATCTTATATACCATAGGCAGGAGAGGTGCAACAGTCGTAGGTGGTGTCACATTTGTCCAGTGTGGAAGTAGGTCGTGCCCAAGGGTTAGGCAAGCGAAGAATTCCCAAGTTTTAAAAGCCCCAAAATTGCAGTGTCTGCAGGATTGTAGATAAATGGTTCAGAGAACCAACACGTTGAAAATTTAGACCTGTGCAACTCTTGGGGGTATCTTTACTGTAAACTTTCCCCACACGACCTATTTCCACATTGGCAAATGTGACCCCCTACAATGTGCACCCTTTGCCTTGGTATATAAGCACTTCTCCAACATATGCTGTTTTTGTTCAAGATTGAGGGCTGACCAATGATCAAGGCTGAGGGACTGATTCCCTCATTCTCCTCTGTTCTTAAAGTTTCCCCTTTTGTATGGACTGATGAAGCCACTGTGTGGCAAAAACGTTTTAAATAAAAAACCCCAAAGGGTTGCAACGTGCTAATTTTTCACTCCTCACTGTTTCCCCAATGGGCCCGTGCTACAATTAAAAAACTGCAATATTCTCCGCCCCCCCTTTCGATTTATTATCAGCAAAAAAATTTCCTTGCCAGCCTCAGTAAAAAACAGAAAAGATTTTTATATTTTCACTGACATTTAATGGTAAAAGTCTTTAAGAAATTACATAAAAACTCAGGAATGCCCTTTCTGTATCGGTCCTTGTGCAACACTAACACCATCTGGACAGCACCCTATGTGTAAGTATTACAAGGGACCCACGTACCTCCCAGCTGCAGGGTGTGGGTGTCTGGACAAAAGCCATATGTGTGTATGGCATCCACATCCACATTATTTGGCCCCCTTTTATGTTTATTTTTTGGGCAGCAGCCAAAAACACTGTACTTGTATATGAAACAAAATGTTGTTACAATTTTTGTTGTATGTCTGAATTTCTTTAAGTTAAGTCCCAAATTTTTAAAGGGAAGATCTTTTGAATTTAACAAGACTTTCCATAATTGCATGTTTCCCGAAAAGATGTCCAAATTTGGCCCTTTGGTGTTTTTAAACTAATTTCAGAATGCATAAGCATGTTGCCATCAATTGTTTTAGGGGTTGGGAAAAAAAAATTAGGAAGATCATGATGTTAAGATGAAGTAAGGGGGTTTCAAATACTCTTTTTTGGACCCTTTAAATTTTTTAATGGGAAGGGAAAAAAGAAGTGATTATTATCCCAATGCTCTGTTAATATGGTAAAAGTTGTTTCCCTACAATTAATTGCATCAAATTTTAAATTTAAAAAGAATTTGTTATGGTTAAAAGCATTAAAGGGCCTTTTTTAAAGATTTAAATTGGGGGGTCAAGCATTTTTTAATTTTACCTTGTGTGGGCCTTTAAAAAAAATAAATAAATAAGTTTGAAGAGAATATTTTTTTCTTTTTAACCTGGGGCTATTCCTTTTAAGAACTTTCCTTGTTTATTTTAAAATTTATTGGAAATTGCCAAAATATTAATTAAGTTATATAGTAATATATTTTTTGTGGGTTCCTTTTTAAATTTTTTGACAATATTGAAAAATTTTGTTTTTGGTTTTGTTATTTTTAAAATTAAAGAGCTTTATGGACTGTGGCTCCCCCTACTCTCTTCAAATTTGGGGGGCAGTTTGGTTTTTAAAGTGATTGCTGAGAGTATGCTTAATTATTGCAAATTTAAATCAATCTGCAATGCTGGATACAAGGGAAGAAAAAATGTTTTTGTTAATTGCCTGTTTGGTAAGCAGAGGGGTTATATAAGCAGTAAAACAAATTTTTCCCTTTGAAAACTGGTCCCTGTGATAGTAATGTCATTGGGAACCCCCAAATGTGAAAAAGACAACACCTTATCGTTTCGCTTGCGCAGTTAATTGTCTGGGCAATACACAAAAAACCCGCCAAAAAAGACGAATTTACGACGACTTTTCGGCCGACTTGGACCATTGACAAAGTCACACTAACTGAGGAGGAGGACGGTAAAAAGGGCAGGAAGAGGTGGGGGGTAGTAGTAGTGGTAGTAGTAGGGGTAGTGTTTTTAGTAGTAGTAGTACAAGAATTGTTATAATACCGACAGGATGAAATAACATGCAAACCGGGCACCCCACGTAGCCTTTCGCCACCCACCCACCACTGGTGGCGAAACGCCAAACAAAGCAACCGGGACGCCGCACGTTTTAAATTCACAGTAGATGTAGAAAGAAGAAAAGAGGTGTAGTGTGGTATGTAGAAGGGGGAAAAAGGGGAAAGACGAGCCAGTAAATCAAAGGAAGGGGGAGCACGCAAGAGAGTGAAACCCACAGGGGGAGAGAAAGCGCCCCAGGGCGTAAAAGGGGAAATTTGGGAATAAAAAAAAGAAAACAAAACACGGGGACAGGAGGGAGAAAGACAACCCAGAGGAAAAGGGGAGAGGAAAGGGGAAAAGGGGAAAAAGAAAAAAAAGAAGAAGAAAAAAAATGAGGGTTTAGGTTAAATCACGGGTGTTCTGAAGTTTGGGGCATTTTACAATGTTGGGAGGGAAGGCATTACAGGACGAAACCGGGGTAGGGTTATACAAGGAAATTGTGATAAGAGAGGATTCAATAAACGGGCTGTTCGGTTGGGGAAATAGGGGAAAACAGTTTTAGCAGAAGACATCAATAGGTGGCTAATCTCTGAGGACGACAGCTAAAAATGTCCCTTCCCTACTTCCAACTCGAACAGTCGCCGTTTAGTTGAATCCTCTTTTACACAATTTTTCCTGTATGAACCTTAGCCCTGGCTTCGTCTCTGTAGATCCCTTTCCCATCTCCCACTACATTGTAAAATGCTCCAAACTTCAGAACACCCGTGACTTAACCTGAATCCTCATTTTTCTTCTTCTTCTTCTTTTTTCTTCTTCCTCTTCCCCTTTCCTCTCTCCTTTTCTCCTCTGGGTTGTCTTTCTCTCTCCTGTCTGTTGTTTCTGTTCCTTCTTTTATTTTATTTCACCACTTCCCCTTTCACGCACCTGGGTGCGCTTGCTCTCCCTCTGTGGGTTTCTAGCTCTCTTGCAGTGCTCCCCTTCCTTTGTATTTAAACTGGCTCGTCTCCTTATTTCCACTTCTACCACTACCACTTACTACCTCTTCTTCTTCTACTACATCTACTGATGAAATTAGACACATGTGCGGCGTCTGTTGTCTTTGTTGTGGACGTTTCGCCATCCAGTGGCTGGCTGGATGGCGAAACGGCTACGGTGGGGATGCCCGGGTGTTGTGCATGTGTCATTTCATCCTGTCGGTATTATATACAATTCTTGTACTACTACTACTACTACTACTACCACTACTACTACCACTACTACTACCTCCACCTCTTCCTGCCTATATATAGCCGTCCTGCTCCTCCTCAGTTAGTGTGACTTTGTCAATGGTCCAAGTCGGACCGAAACGTCGTCGTAAGCTTCTGTCTTTTATGTGCGGGTTATTTGTATATCGTTCCAGTCACGGTATTGTGCCTTTTTGTTATTTATGTCTGGGCAACAACCAAATGATGAGAATATACAGTCAGGAGGAATCTCTGTTGTTGTTGAGGTTGTCATAGTTATAGTAGCTGTTGTCACAGATGATTCTGAAATAAAGTATAAATAATTATAACACATTTTCTCTATTTTTAATACATTGGCTATTTCCCACCAAGGCATGGTGACCCAAAAAGAAAGAAAAACCCAAAAAAGAAGAAAAATATTTTCATCATCATTCAACACTTTCACCATCACTCATACATAGTCACTGTCTTTGCAGAGGCGCTGAGATGTGACAGTTCAGAAGTCCCTCCAAACTGCCAATATCCCAAATCTTTCCTTTAAAGTGCAGGCACTGTATTTCCCATTTCCAGGATTCAAGTCCAGCTAACCAGAAAAAAGTTTATGACCAATGTCAGCCTCAGAGTTAAGTAGAGCTTACTGAATTTAGTATCTTTCTGCACAAATGTTAGATAACTAATTTATTTTGCTTAGGCACCAATTCTAATGGTTAAACAGGGTCTTCAGATATAAATATGACCTCAGAATAATGCATTTTGCAGATCGGAGAGTGTATCTCATCATGCACATCAAACATGTACTACTGTACATTATGTAACAAAAATCATCATAAATGCTTGTTTCAAAATCACAACCATAAACATATGCATCAATAATTATGTGATAAATGGTTTAAAAATCCAACAAGTTGTAGATTGAGACACTTATGCAACATATGGGAATCTTTACTGAGGAAACGTTTTGCCACACAGTGGCATCATCAGTCCAATACAAAGCAGAAAGGTGTAAGGAGAGGAGGAGTTTGAGGTTCAGTCCATCAATCTTGATGGACTGAACACATCGACTCCAGGCTGAGGGACTGATTACCTCAAACTCCTCCTCCCCTTACACCTTTCTGCTTTGTACTGGACTGATGATGCCACTGTGGGGCAAAATGTTTCCTCGATAAAGATTCCCACATGATGCATAAGTGTCTCAATCTTCAATAATTATAATATACTATACTAGCACATTTGTCTTCTTCAATAGGTTATGTTTTAACTCAGCTAAATTATTAATAAATCTGCCATCAAACCTTAAAATGCTTTTATGT